GAGGGAGGGAAAGAGAGCATGCAAGTATTTTTCCCAGGGAGACATATTATCACAATGGTCTTTTGTTTACTGTGATCCGAAACATGCAAGGTTAAAAGACTCAGGGTCATGCCCTCGAAGAAAACAGAGTAAACACATTATACAGAGTGACGGCGACTATGACTTGTTGAGAAACGTTTGGTCATGGTATGAACTGGCACTCAGTCCGGCGACCGTTCAATACTCGGTGTGATGAACGAGGTTCACTACCTGGGGCGGTCTGAACTTCTAGATCAAAATGCTTGAATACCTGATATTACTTCAAAAGACTTACGTCGTCTGCCACCGGTGGGGATGCACCTCCAGTAGGCCAATCAGCTAACGGCGTGGCCGAGACGACAGCTAATAAAGCTGGGAAGTCAGAACCTACAACTAGGAAGAGGACGAGGCGGATCTCACAAGCGACGGCGAGGATTACGACAAGTAGCTTCCAGTACATGATACTTAGATGAAGAACACATCAAATGCGTTTAAATACCTAGGAATCTTGTCCAGGGACTCGATAAAGTGCATCTAGATAGCGATAGAAATCTTGCTCGTTCCCATGCAAGGCCGCTGGACAGGTCAATCAGTCTATGGACAGGTCAGTTCCTTTCAACGAAGATGGGAAGGACGAACCTTGATGCATACGACGCTCCACGGCACTTTGTATCGTGTCCAGTCTTATTCGCAGACGGAGACAGATCTGTATGGGACTTCAGCCCCAGTCAAAAGTCTGTGGACATGAGTCGACGGTCGTATATATCCATCGATAAATCGATGGCTACCTGTCAGTCTCTAATAATGGCCCATTCTATTTTTGCTTCTCAGATAACTGTGGGTGTGCATAGACAGCTATAGATTTCTATCGATGCATATCTATACATGCCTATACCCATTGGTCTAGATATCTACATAACCCTGTGTACTTTCCCGCTTGACCAATTGCCTCGTCGCCTCTCGTTCTAATCCCGCGCCATCGATTGATTCTAATATCAGATGGTATTCAGTGCAGAAGTCAAGTGAAGGGCTACACTACGTACCTTGGCCTGCTGCAAAAGTCGTAGTAGGGTGTCGAATACGTCGGCCTTGCGGGTGCACGAGCATCCCTAGGAAAATCCGTGAGCTAAGCGGGAAACGTTCATGGAAGGGGGGTATGGAAGGATATCATGATCTCGGGGTATATATGGCGCCAGTATGGGGGTTTTGAACATGGCAGGCTGTAAGAAAAGTAAGACGACGTCAAGGTGAGGTTACTAGCCACTTGGCGAGCTCACCTTCGCCCAGGACAAAAGCAATATCCACTGTGCTGGTCACTATCTCTTGCAAGTAAAAACAAAACTGGCTATATGCGGTCTTGTTGGCGCCCTTCCGAGTCTGCGGTACCATTTCGACGAGCTGAACGTTGGCTGAACGCGTATCGTGATTCGTGAACATGTCCGAGGGACCTCCTACGAGGAATTGACGAGAAGAACGACAGTTATTGTTGGAAAGTAGTCAGTGGACACGACCAGCAAGGTATCATACGGCGGCAGTGATGGTGGTAAAAGGAAGAAGGGTATCGGACTTAGCCGGCCTCAGAGCCGCGGAACTTGGGAGGACGTCTGCCAGTGCGACGACAATGACTACTTCTCAGCACCTGCCTACCACCAATAAAATTTACCAAGTGCGCTTGCGAACAGCTACTCTTGCAAACTCGAACCAAGATTATGACTATAAGGTAATGTAAAGGTTTTGAGGCAAGTACATTACTCCATAAATCTCTCTACATACCTACAGGTGTCTACGGATCGACTCGTACCTGTAGACGTCAACCTAGGCCTACAGACTTTTGACTGGGCTTCAGCACGAAAACTGAATGAAAGGCAAGTGGAATAACGCACTGAGTAGATCACAAAAAACGCCGATCAATCTGGGCTATATGAGTCGGGCTCTAAGAGACGGGCAGGCGACAGACTTTGAGATAACGCTGACTCATGCAGGCTGGCCGAGTTCATGAATGCCAAACGTCACACGTCACGGTTTAGAGGGGCGCGCGCGGTCCTTAATGACGCACATGGTACCAGTAGACCTGGATACAGAATTGGAAAGACGTTCTACCAACAATCTATGGGCAGTTATGATTACAGCGAAGCAATGCACGTCTCTTGAAAGGATGGTTCGCTCGGCACAAAGGCATGGTTCCATCGGCTCAGAAGTAGAATCCCGGTATGGCTCGACCTGGACAGCTAAAGTTACCGATACCCAGCGCCGAAAGAACAATAAACGTACCTCCATGACCTATCGTACCGTTTTTGGTTCCTCCTGACTCGCAATCTCTGCCTTTCTCAGAGCATCGAATCCTTCGTGAGGCTGGCGCGAGCTTAAAAGCTACACGGAGAGCGGGCATCCAACGGAGAGTAGTGGCTAACGGTTGTCGAAAGAATATGGAACGACGAGAGCAGTGCTTCCTTTATTTCCCACGGCCCACTTTGCGACCATGTGATCTGAACGCGGTACTAGGAGTTTTCTACTTCTCCCTCCACAAGTTCTTCAAACTGGTCCCGCAGGCCCTACCATCAATTACCATGACATAGAATTCAGGGAAACAAGATAAAACCTCTTAAAAACTTGACGTTATTAGTTATTAAAGGACCCCGACTTGAACTTGAAGGTTCCGCTCATCTAGGGTCCTTCTCTCCGCGTATTGAAAATGTGCATGTCCAGGGACGCGTATAGAAAGATTACGTATCTGGTCTGAATGTCCAACGTTTAAGAATGATATCACGACGATGATCTTGCCATGATCTGTCACGTCATTAAAAAAATGCGAAATCGAGTACTTCTCTCCCTAAAGCTTAAAGACCGAAGAACAGAACAGTGCTCTGGATACTACTTAGCGATCCAAACCCACGAGCAAGGAGGGAATACACGAGTGGAAGGATCTGCAGACCAAAAATCGGCTTCCATATACACATTCCCTCTAGCGGACTTGAACCTTTTTGCGCTCCAAGTGGCGCACACTATCAACTGAACCGAGAGGGATTGCTTATACACTAAAACGAAAGCAATATCCTAGCAAACTCTGAGAAAATTCATATATCCTGCTTATGCTCGAATCGACCAAGCATTCCAATAGTCAGTATCATTAAATACAACGCGAGGATGATACTACGCTAGAGCAGAGAGAAACAGTCGAGCAGAGTGGTAATTGGCAGACAGTAAGTACGGAAAGACGATGGGAGAGACAATACGGTGCTGTTTTGGTAGAGATGAGGGTGATATAACCTGAGCGGTCGTCCAGTAAAGAAACAAAGCCGGATCCGAAAGAGACTCAAGACAGCAGCGACACCTCCAATCTAAAAGGCGGTGGCTGCAGCCTGCTACATGGACGACGTGCATGTGGAAGGGCGTGGGCCTGAGCTTGCATGGGAGCCTGTGGACCCGGAGGTGGGAGCGGAAGACAATGCAGACGCGAATCTAGAAACACGCTTAGCCGCCAGATGGAAAGAGTATTAGACGAACGACTCACACTAGTGGACTCAAGAAGTTGAAGAACTTCCACAAAGGGTCAGTCAGGGATCTCAACGGTCAACCCTCTATAAGTGTGCCAATGCCAAGGAGTCTGTAGACCTCAGGACACGAAATTAGAAGGACAACAAGCGAAAGAAAAGATGCTCGCACCAAACTATTAATCATCCGTCCTCCATCGAAGGTTACGACTCTTTCTTGTGGGTCGCTCTGGGATACGTAAATATGTAGAACGCGGTTGAAGCAAGGTTGATCTCTCTGGAACTTTCTATCCCTAGTATAAGGAGCAAATATGAAGAAGGCGGGCAGAACAGCCAACGCGGTCAAGACGAGCAAAAGACCGTGATGCGGATGCCCAGGCACAACTTGTAAGTGAAACCCACGCGAGCTATATATATATAATTAGATCAACAACGAGCAAACGAAGAACGTGCGTACCTCCACTACCAAACCTCGCGATAACCTAGCGCATCCACTGGGCCGATTCTGGCTCCTATCCATCTTCTCCTCCCGTCAACCCGACGGCGCCATCGACAGTATGCAGGTTTGGCAGAGCAATCCCTATAGGGAGATATCGCCTCCGGCGTATTCTTGTCGAAGCATTAATAATTATTAGAAGACAAATGAAATGATTTTACAGTAGACGCACATACCTCTACATTCATCTCCATCCCATGATACCAGCCTCAAACGACGAGCCTGTTGGCAAATTGACACATTCGTAGAGATTGACATTGTCTTTCTTTCCCAGCGGCAGGGATGCTAAACATATAGAGACCGTAATCAGCGAGACGTTCAGGTAAAAGAAAACAATACCCGCACCTCCGTTACCACCACCGGTTCTTCATCGCGAATCAATGCACGTTTCTCGAGAGCATCCTCCAGGCTCTATTCAAAAGTAAAGTTGCGTTTCATAGGACACCGTGCATGTGTCGACTTGTGAACCAAAAAGTCTAAAGTCAGTGACACCCAAGCGCCAGCAGAACAGCGAATGTACCTCCATGACATGGGCGTTCCTCCGGGGCCAAGAGACGGTAGTTAATCAACATGCTCATGTGAGGCAGGCAAAGTAGCCCCAGGCCTGTAACTTGAGGCCGAAGATCGACCACTGAAGTAGGCGCAAAAGCCTCAGCGTACTTCCTTTCCCACAGCTCATTTGCGACCATGTGATCTGAACACGGTAGAAGCAGCCTTAGCCTAAAAATACCTACCCCTCGGACATAGCATTGAAGACGTGAGTCAGGCGTTAGAGCAGTACCTCGGATTGAACAAAGAGGGCGGGTCCACACGCTTCGTCGTTACTTGATGACAAATTGGAAAGGAACTTTGACAACTTACATGTAACGAAGACCCCGCAGTAAACAGTCATGGCCCTACAACCCGAGCAGTAAGCGAGCTGGCCGCTGCAACTCACAACTTCATTGATGCGCTCTAAAACTAGCAAAAAAAAAAAATTCCACTATGACAACGTATTCCCTCTAGCCAACTTGAACGACTGACCTCGTCATAACCTCAAGAAACCTCTTTATACTAGTGACGCGCTCTACCAACTGAACTAAGAGGGAACATCCATAACGCAGAGTTTAGTGAGAAAGTCCCAGCATGATAGCTAGAGCAGCAAAAATGTCACCTTATGGCATATGGCACGAGCTTGAATCGAACGAGCTCTTTGCGCGGTCCCAATGCGCCATTATGCCGTGAGATAAACCTAGAGCGCAGACTCCAGAGGGACGTTAGATATCTGGCCACTGTCTGGCCATCCAATAATACGGTCAAAGTAACACAATAATGGTGAAGAAATTAGGATGCTAATTGATAACAACAGCAGATGAGTCTGACGATTCATCAGAAGAATGTTTTGGAAGGAGGTATAGATACAATGTAAGCGTGCGTAGTCACTCGTAACTTGGTAGAGTGTGCCCAAAAACAGTCTTGTCTGAAATGAAGAAAAAAGTCTTAGAGAGCGGCGAGAACACTGACACCATCAACCAGCACCTGCAAGGCTGCAAAGCGGACAATACACAAGACAGTGATATATGCCTTGCATGGGAGCTCGGTGGAAGGGGCAGGTGGATGCAGAAGGCTAGACACACCGTCATCAAAATCCTCCATCATTTCCCATGAGTCGACTTGGAGGATGACGTGAACGCCATTGACCACGAGTCACTACATTAGCATGAGAGGACATTGACCAATGAGGTTGACGTCAAGTAAAAGAAGAGGCGCACATAACAGTATCACCCAGCGCTGCATCCATTCTCCCTGGATCCTAGTCCACTTCAATCCGTTCCCAGCAGTCGCTAGGTGTCCGACCTTGCGCACTTTATAGATGACCGACACATCCCCTTGTCAGTGTGCTGCGAGCCTAGGTTCAGAAGGTGGATTAAAAAAATTGTACAGTAGAAACGCTTACCACTACGTCAATCTCCGTCCCATACGTCTCGCCATGCTGGCGTTCGCGGGACTGAATATCGGATTGTATGCTAAACGTAAGCGTGGAGATAGCTGCAGACATGAAATAAGCGAGACGTTCAGATGAAGGATACCGATGCATAGCATTACCGGCTCTCCATCAGCAGCGAACACCATGGATCACTCACATACCATCCTCCAGGTTCGATTCGCTCCGCGCAAAAGCACAGCTCTGGAACTGAGGCAAGGGAGCTGAAGAGCGCAAAGTCAGCGATACACAAACATCGAAAGAGCAATGGACGCACTGAATCCAACTTGGGCATTCCTTCCCGCCAATCCTGACAACCTGGAGCCAAGACATTGGTTAATCCGATTTTGAACCCTCCGTGCACGTGAGGCGGATGCGAATCGCAAAGCAAGCCGCCACCTATCGCCGGTGCCAGCGAACAGAGATCAGCGATAGCCAAATACCAAAGGTCGGGTGGTCGACGAAGATGGAACGGATGAGAGTAAATACTTCCTTGCCACGGCTCACTTTGCGATCATGTGACATGAACGCGTGCAACTTCTCCCAACAATCTCCCAAGTGATTCCTCTATTTATGTCACCACCTTTGATACGAGTTGACTCCTTTCCGGGACTGCATTATTTAACATTCACAACAATAAAATGAAAGCCCTTGCCCATTACTTAGTGGAGGAAGAACGAGGTGAGCAACCTAATAGTCACCTATAATCCCTCTCTCCAGGTAAGGGACGCGAATCTAAAAAGTAGATAATCTTACCGGTCCGACTCTTGAAGAATGGCAGGGCATCGACATAGGTTTGTCACTAGGACATTGACTCCGAAACAACTGTCAACGATGCGAGTCACAAAGGCCTTAGGCGTTAGACTTGGAGCAGGACCTCGGGTCGAACAAAGAAGGTGTATCCACAAAGCCCCCGGTCTACTTATACTGAACTTCAACGATTAAACAAGATGCAACTTTTATCACCAAAACGTAACCAGTTATGGGCCTACGACCCTAGTGGCGACAACGTTGTTGAGAGTTGATTCTCGTGAAAAAAACGAACGACAAACAAGAACTACCCTCTAGCCGACTTGAACGACTATTGAATTGATGAGGCGCTCTACCAACAGAGCTAAGAGGAACTGATGATACATTGGAATACAAGTAATACACCCCAGCATGGTAACAAGATAATCAAAAATTTGATTATCAAGAGGTATCAATGGCACGAGCCGGAATCAAACAAGCCGTTTGCGCGGTTCCCGATGAACCATCGCGCCGTGACATAAAGCTGACTTGTCGGCTAGTATAGTAATACACTCAGTGCAGCTAAACAATGGCGCAGAGCAGGGTGTTAATCGACAGCAATGACAGGCGGTAAGTACAGGCTGACAGGGTGTAGGCGTAGTAAGTGGGAGAACTGAGAATGTGCCCACCAGCACACGGGAGGCTGTATTGAATGCGGTGCAGACGATGCACGAAGAACTGATAGAGATCTCATATGGGAGAGTAGTAGAAGCGAAAGAAGGATAGATGGAAAGGATCAAGAACCAGACCAGCAGACAAACTGACGTGCTCGGCCAGCGAATAGGGAATAGCGTAGGCCGCGATCAATGGAGTGCAGGGCGAGAAGTGAAGCCAGGTTTAGTAAACCAGCATTGAGGCCGAGGGAAGGAAAAGACGCTTCTCCGTCAGGAAATCTGAGCTATGAGGGATTGGTAGTATGCCGAAATTTAAGTAATACGTAACCGGTCTCAGCATGACAGCGAGAGAGTGAAAAAGGTCTATCCATATCCGTGCGTTATGGCACAAGCTAGAATTGAACAAACTGTTTGCGTGGTCTCGATGCGCTATCACACCTTGAGATAAAGATCAGTGCAGAACGATTTGTCAGCTCGAAAATAGCACAACAAAACAAGGGTGCTAATTGACAACAACGGTATGGGTTGACAAGACATAGAGTACGAGACGGCTCAGAAGAATAATCCTTTGGAGAGAGGTCATGCGTAACAAGCGAGTAAAGTGTACCAAAACAGTTCCGTCCAAAAGAAAAAAGAGTCCACCCAAGCCAGGTCGGCGGCAAGGATGCCGACACGGTCAATCTTTGCATAGGGCCATATGGGAGGGTAGTGCAGAGTCCAGACAAACAGACATCCGAATCAGTCCCATCACAATCATCGTCAGCAAATAGTCGGCTGATCGTAGGCCGAAGGTCAGGGCGGGAAGTGAAGCCAAGTTTGGTAGACCTGCAGATACATCTTTAGAACGACGTCAAGAGAAAGAAAAGACACTTAGTCCTCCATCCGTCGCTACATCTGTTTCTTGTGCACTACCTAAACCATTCATTACGTCGGAGGAACCTAACATGCGTCTGCGATGGATGAAAATATGAATAATCTGAGATAGGCGGTGCTCGAGTCTAACAAAAACCCCGTTAACCAGCATCAAAAAAAGATTTGCGACTCGCCTCAAGGACCTGATTTCCCATAGGTTGCAGAAGCGCAATCGTCATCTGGTACGGCGAACATGGCAGTGATGGCTAGTTACAAGGCTAATTGGTACGAGAGGCACAGAAGAGGAAGGTACACAGCGAAGGGCGTAAACTGCATGGTGGTGTGCAGGATAGAAGGATGCAGCTCGCTCGCAGAACTCATACAACCTGAATAGACACGAAATTGGAACACTGTCAAGTGAGAGAAGAGGCGCATGCACCTCCACTACCAATCCATCCCCTAACTGCGACTACTCCAGGCTGCCAGCTCATTCAAACGTCGAAGGAAAGGTTCAAGGAACTGGTGAGCCATCCATATGTGCATGTCTCGCGTTCTGTACCATCAATGGCGGTTACAAATTGCCCGGTCTGGAATGAAGTGTGATGGAGGACAGACACATCCACACTAGGAGATGCGTGTTCTTGCTGACGTGCTGCGAGCATATGCTTAGAAGATCTGCGATAAGATTATATAGCACACACCCTTACCAAGGTCATCTGCAGTGGTCGTGACTGACATGAAATCGGCAAGGCATCGATTCCGACCTCAGCCTTCCCAGTAAATCAGTACATGGGGTCTTCCACGTTAGCGTTCAACTTCCTTGGCGCAAAGGTACTGTTGGGGCACAAAGCAGATAGGGTTGACCTGGAGAGCTGAAGTCAGTGACACCCGTGGCGAAAAAGAAAAAAACAATACACGCACCCCCATCGATTCTTTATGGACCCCCCAACGATCCTAGTGCGAATAGGAATTCTTGGCAGTAACCACCTTGACAACTCTGAGTTTTTTTGATAATTGAATACTGGGCTTCAAGCCAATTGTAGAAGGGAGACGGGCCTGGGAAGATGGCAAAGCTTCAAGCATTCTGCAGAGGGTCAATGTTCAACCGCCAATCCTCCATTGGCAACTAGCGTAACACGGTGAATTGATCAATGCATGTCTCTTGAGGGGATTCTCCAGGTGTGGTTCATTGGGCAGAGATGAGGAAGAAGCATGTGTCGACCTGGGGAGCTAAAGTCAGTGGCACTCCAATTCCGAAAGGATAATAAACACGCCCCCACGACGTATCCGTACCGTGTCCGGTGCCTCCTAAACAATATCTGCCTCGCTCAAAGTCGGAGTGCTGAATCCTTCGTGAGACTGATATGAACTTCAAAGTTGGTAGTAACACGGTCGAGACAGGCTATGTTCGACTTGCTGACTCCCCAACAAGGGTAGAATATCCTGGTAGTATTCGCTTCAGGTGGCTGCGGGTCAAGCTGCACAGTTGCTCGAATCCCCCATGATGTTAAAGTGAGCCTGGAACTCACATAGAGGGTAGAACATAGACAAGGCCGTCAACGAAAAACTCCGGATACAGTGATCACTGACCACGACATGCATTCAAGTTTTCCCACAGACAAATTCGCGGTACATGTGATCTGAACGCGTCGATTCCTGGAATTTCAAATTCCCGCCTTCGACGTGTCATTTGACTTCTCCTGCTTTGTCGCATCCGCGTCTCAAAATATGGATTATCTTCTTTCGTGCAATAGAACAAGAGAGTGTCGCAATTTCTTCTGCTATGATATCGCCTTGTAGAAAGCCGACTTAAACTGGCGACGAACTGCATGGAATTTACTGACCAGTTGACACGGCTTCGTCTCTTCTC